TGGCTTAAAAAAACAACCTTACAATACTTGTTGTACCGCAGATGACATTTGCTTTATAATTATTCAGTGTGCATTTCTTGTCAGTAAAGCTGAACAGCATGTGGCATTAGCCTGAGAAGAGACAACAATCCTTGCTACCTATGTCTATTGTGTTAGGATTTGGATACTTTTCACCCTCTTCCCATTCCTTACCTTTTTTGCAGGGCAAAATAATTAAATTTATAGGTACAAGATAGTTACATATCATTTTTAAGGCAACATTTCCAACACAGCATCGTGAAAGTACAAGGAGGATGGGTTATGAGGAACATCAAAGATGATCCCTCCTGTTTATCTTTCACCCATCCCCTATCCTGTCCTTCAGAGAAGGGGCACAGGATGGAGCAGAAGAGACCATTCAGCAATGTACATGCTTTATCTCCAACTCGTATTCTAGGGGAGCTGCAATCTAGCACTATAATAAGTGGCCATGGTGATAGAACTTCAGAATCCCTGAAACATATTTGAGCTATAGTTTAGGAGACAGGAGAATCCAAACGCTTACTGGAACACGTTGGTAAATTTCTAACAACTGATCTACCAAGGGAGCAGCTTCCTATAGTTCTGTTCCACTTGTATTATTTCCCAGCTTACGAAAATGCAAAATATTTTAATTGATTTCCTTTAGTAATCAAGCCAACTGAGCCTCCAACGCAACCACCTACGCCACCTCCACCTCCAACAATCCCACCTGCACGGGATGGTAAGTGATTGCTTTTTGATGTCTATAAGATCTAAAAACTGTGGGGGATGAAGAGTTCTGGAATTTATCTTGATTCAGAAAACTATAATTAATGGTAATGATAGCTTGTAAACAGTGAAGTAAGTTCTGCTCCAGTGGCATTTAATCATTCCCCTGTTTTCTGTATATCTATACATTTGAGTTAGCATTTTATATTTTGTTTTGTGGACAGATTTGGCGTACGTATTAATGTCTTTTATATAAATCCAAATAGAGAAAGTTTTTCGGAAAGCTTTTGCATAGCAAAGCTGAATAACAGAGTTAGAAGGGACCTTTATAGGACTTCTAGTCCAATCCCCTGCATGAGACCCTATACCATTTTTGGGACAAATGCCTGTCACTTTGAAAAGTTCCAGTTACTACATCCTATTTTTTTTTTATTGTGCTGCATCTTCTGAATGATTTCTGAATCCAATGTATCTTTTAGTATGCAAGGGTGCCAAAGCTGATATAGTCTTCTTGACTGATGCTTCTTGGAGTATTGGAGATGAAAATTTCAACAAAGTGGTGAAATTTGTTTTCAACACGATTGGTGCATTTGACCTAGTAAATCCAAATGGAATTCAGGTTAGTCAGTTCTTAAATATTAAGCAAGATAAATTGTTGTTTTTTTGCATATCTTTCAAGTAAATACTGTAGTTATAATATGGCAGTTTCAGTTTTAAAAATCCTATCACCTGTGACAAAAATGAAAAAATTAAGAGCCTTTTCATATCTTTCCTCTTCCCTTCCCTTTTCTTCTTTCCTTTTTAAATAGTCCTGTTGCAACAATTCTCTAAATAACAGACTAATTAAAAAAGTCAGGCACACATTTTTAAAAACCCATAATTATTACTAATAAAAAGATGTGCTTGTATATATATATTATATGTAAGACTTACACATGTCCAAGATATATAAGATTATAGAATATGAGCTGTTGAACTGTATTTTCTTCAACAATATAATATTACATTTTTGGTGGGTTTTTTTTTCATTTTAGGTTTCCTTTGTGCAATACAGTGACGATCCAAAATCTGAGTTCAATTTGAACACGTATGATGATAAGGCCCAGGCCCTGGGAGCCCTTCAGTATATTCAATATAGAGGAGGGAACACAAGAACAGGTAATTGAGCACAACGTCTGAATAGTAGTTTCCAGGGATAGGTTTTCTCATATTGTTACTGCATAGGTTTTAACTTAGAATGTATTCCAGTGTTATTCCTCCCCCCTCCCCGCCCTTCCAAAGTCGTGGCTTTAGGTTGATGACCTGAATGAAACTGTTTTCTTGATTCACAGGAAAGGCACTTGCATTTATCAAAGACAAGGTGCTTATATGGGAAAGAGGCATGAGGAAAGGAGTTCCCAAAGTCCTTGTGGTCGTAACAGATGGTCGGTCACAAGATGAAGTGATGAAAGCTGCAGCTGTCATACAGCAGTCTGGTAAGCCACATTTAGATGGCTGGGTTTAATTCTGCAGTCTTCATCAAATCTCAGATTCTGTATCATGGTTGACTGGAATACATACAGTTCAGATTGTGAGTGCTTCATAGCCACTTGTGCCTGAACTAGTGCATTGGTTGGAGTACTTTAAATACAAGTAAGTCCTCGACTTATAACTATAATGGAGCCTGCCTATTATGGTTGTAAGTCACGATGGTCATAAAGTAGGGCATCGTGTGATCAACCCAATTTTATTAAGTAAATACATGGTCATTAAGAAACCCATTGTTCACTATGGGATCTTTTTGCCGAAGTAAATGCGGGTTTGGGCAAAAGTGTAAATTGTGATCCCATGACTGCAGGACACTACAAATGGCCATAAAAATGCAGGGAGGTGATGATGGCCGTAGGAACCTCGCAACGAAGTTGCAAGTTCCTTTTGGAAGTCCATTGTAACTTTGAACAGTCACCAAGCAGCCAGTCGTAAGTCGAGGATTACCTGTACTGCTTATCTCTGTATGATATTTCCACCATTCATCCTGCCTTTATTACTTCATAAATTCCTCAAGGCAGTGAACAAATCTAATACTCCTTCCTCTTCCTATTTCCCTCCCACAACCACAACCTTGTGAGTTGGGTTGAGCCCGAGAGAGAGTGTGTGTGATTGGCCAGTCACCCAACTGGCTTTTGTGCCAAAGGTGAGATTAGAACTCATAGTCCTCTGGTTTCTACATCAGCAACTTCACCACTACACCAGTCTGGCTCTCAGTATTGGTAATGCAACTTTGACTTCCTCCCTAAGACTTCTGAGATCCCCACGTACCTGGGTAGTGCCAGGTTGTTGCCCTAATATGATGGGACACCAAGCATTCTTTTTCCCAGAAGAACTTGGAGAAACTTCCCTATGTTCATGTTATTTCAACCAGTGCTATTGTCTTTGCAGGTTTCAGTGTATTTGTTATTGGTGTAGCTGATGTTGATTACCACGAACTAGCCAAAATGGCAAGTCAGCCAAGCGAACGCCATGTCTTTATAGTTGACGACTTTGATGCTTTTGAAAAGATTGAAGATAACCTCGTCACTTTTGTTTGTGAGACAGCTACCTCAAGTGAGTAAAATAATCTTTTTTCAGGATGGGTTAACATAGTTAATCCAGTGTAAATCACAATTAAAACATAATCTAGTATTTTATTAAGGAAAAGATATTTTTTTCCTCACTATTATATAATCAGAAAGGAAGAGTCAGTAGCGGAATACATGCTCTGCATACAGGAGTTCCCAAACATAGCCTTTGCATATCCAAGTTGAACTTGGAATGATGCTAATGGAAAACCTTGGAAAATCACTAATGATCATTGTAGAATGTTTGGAGGTTGACGGACTAAAGTCCTGACTCTTTAGAAGGCAACTTGCTTTTTTCCTAAAATGAGCATTAACATGAGCACATAATCCTTAGCCCATATTAACATTCCACGCTGTCCTTATCTTGGAGCTCTTAGTGGAGATGGAGTGGCTTGTCTAATGATATCTTTTGAGTTAAAACAGAGAGCATAATATTGAGTTGAACCAGGGAGGTTCTATCTCTTTCTCAGGCCTTTTTCTGAATTTCTGCACTGCTTGTCTCTGAAGGAGCAACTTAGTCATAGTCTGTATTATGGAATCTCAAATCCACTGGTACTTGCACAACATCTCCCCAACAACTTTCACATCGATTCCCAAAGAAAAGCCAAATGAATCACTGAATGCCCAGATGTAGGAAGACATATAAATGACCCCACAAAAAAAGATGCCAGGCTTTGAACTACTACAACAGCAATGGACAGTCCTGAATAGGATTCGCACCTCACTCGGCGTCTGCCCGGACTCTCTGTATAAATGGGGCATAGTATCCTCCTCTCAGTGTTACTGCGGGGTCAATCACATCGTGACCGGCTGTATGCTGAGGGCATATACTGGTCCAGTATCTGATTTTTTTTTTAATACAAATGATGCTGTGCTTCAGTGGTTAGATCAACTTTCTGGCACCAGGGATCAGTTTCGGGGACACAATTTTTCCATGGACTGGGGGGGGGGATGGACAGTGGTTTCGCACTTAACCTAGATCCTGTGCATATGCAAATGAAGCTTCAGTTGCTCGCCTGCCGCTTGCGTGGCCCGATTCTTCCACGGACCAGGGGTTGGGGGTTAGATGGTCTAGACATTGATATTTGAACATAGATCTTTTTAACATTTATATTTTATTGTGTTTTACTAATCTAGGTGAAATGTTAATATATATTGCTGGTCCACATAAGATACGCCATTAAACTAAGTACATAAATAAATAAAGAACCATATTGAAGAAAGCTAAGATTGGTGGCATTTGTAGTTCTGTACCTGTGGAGGACATTTGTTTGCAGGCAGCTGTATGTTTCTAGTAACAATGCCACTGCTCGCTTATTCATGCTGTATCTGTTTCTTTTTTTCCAGCTTGTCCTCTCATGTACTTAGATGGATACACTTCTCCCGGTAAGAAATAACACATGAATATTCCAGTTTAATAACGTCTTACTTCCCTGTTTCTTAATCCCATCACTGTTCTTTCTGTTTTCTCTTTATTCTGACATATAGGCTTCAGGATGCTGGAAGCTTACAATTTAACAGAAAAATATTTTGCTTCAGTACCTGGAGTTTCCTTGCAGTCAGGATCTTTCCCAAGCAACGTGGCATACAGGCTTCACAAAAATGCTTTTGTTAGCCAGCCCACTGTGTAAGTATATTACTTTTTTTTCTTCAAATCTTTTCTAATTGCAGAAAATTGA